ACTGTATTTGTGAACAATAAGAATTGATTCAATAATATCAAATATTATTCTGTACGTAGGTTTGATATGCAACACGTTTTATACGAAAAAGCGGAACAGCGGGAAAATAGCGGAAAAAAATTGAAAAAGCGGAAGAGGTGGCAACCCAGTTTACGATATAAGCAAAAGCTGTCATAGTTTTGTGGTGATGCGTGAGGAATGTCAAAGAGCTGGTAAGAAGTTTGTTTTCAATGAATCGTTGGGAAAGAAGGAATGTGAAGAATGAAAATGAAAATGAAAACTACTTATATTTGGTGTTTGTAAAGTTCTGTATAGCATGGAATATGTTGTATATGCACAGATATCTTTTCTGAACAGTGACGACAAAAGTATTCGATATAAATTTAGTAGCTATACCGTATACATATACACGCTGACGTGTACTTAGCTATATAGTTTGTCTTCTGTTATAAACAGAACGGGAAAAGAATTCATTTTTGACCTGAACGACACTTTTCCGCTTGAAATGAACATTTATCTCACCGATCGATTTTTTTTGTCTATTGCTGACTAATGTAGAAAACTTGTCAATCAATCAGAGAAATGAGTGAAATGAGTGTTTTTGTTTTTAATCATGGTTTTTTTTATGAATCAACTCTAATTTATAATGCAACTGTACCAAATAAACACGCTCGGTTCGATACGTTTTCGCTTTAAATACTCTCATTTTGTCGGAAAAGTATTTTTTCTTATCATTTCATCAAATTTTCCACAACACTAAGACAATAAATATAGCATGGCGATGGATTCATACAGCAGATTGTCACACAAGTATGTAGATCTCGCCCATGTTGCGAATACCGGATCAATTTTTGCGGTAAACCACGGTATTTATCCGTTCTGCGGTAATGGGAGCCGGTAACCGGACCGGTAAAACCGCGGTTAACCGGCGGTTTTCATGCGGTTTTTATTACATGGGCGTTTAATAAGATTTCTTCAATAATCAATGAATTTTTTTCTGTTAATAGATTTTCAAGTTTTTTGTTAAACAGTTTCTATAATTCAATACAGAAACCGTTATCTTTCTTCAAAAGCTATGAAACATCCAGCCAAAGATTAATATTCCTGTTTTCCATTAATTTAGGCTAATATTCGATTGAGATTTAACTTAAACTTGAATTATTTTTGTAGAAAAAGGTTTTGAAATAACAGGCTTTGGATTAGTAGTTTAGGAAAAATATAATATTAGAACAATAATGATTAGTTTTTAAAATGAATGAGAAGTTCACGAAATCAACATATTATTACTAATAGATCATGTATTAACAAGACACAATAAAGTATATATTGATTTCAAAATCAAATATTCTATTATAGTAAAATTTAAATACTTTACCAAATCTAGGCAGCGGAACTGCTTATGTATCTGTTAGGATCGATGAATTTGATGTTTCTATTATTAACTTATAATTAGTGAAACTAACTATTGATATCTTCTATTGTTTGACGTCAATTAAATATTATTGTGTTTGCCAAGACTAAATTTAGACACTAATGATTACAAACGAATTTCCGATTCCGTTCTACGAGAAAAGTGACGAGGATTCTAATGAGCGCATTATTGACAATCAACAGCTTGAATGTATTTTCTGCATCAAAAATTGATTACAACTCGTGTAATTCGATGTTCAAGACACATTTTTTTAATTCTTTCGAAATCTAAACGATGCTCAACTAAAACAATTCGATTGAATAAAACTATAGTATTCGTACTGAATTACTTACAATGTGAATATTCAATAGGAGTGTAACAGTTCGCAGATCTAAGTTCAGATCTAAAGATCTGTTCGACCAGTTCTTTTGATTTGATCTGAACTGTTTGAGCAGATCAGTTCAGATCCTTAGAACTGTTCGGGCAGATCATACCAGATCTAAGAACTGTTAGGATCTACACTGGGATGATGTCTATATCGATATAGACGTCTCTTGTGGAATCAGATCTAAGGAACTGTCTGAACAGTTCTTTTGATAGGAACTAAAAGTGAACTGGCATACCCCTAATATTCAATAGTCAATGCAAAGAAACATAGTATGTTTTCTTGCCGTGTTACAAACTGTTCATTTGATTAATATGAAGCAAAATAAAACAGTTTTATTAACATATATTAATCACCATAAAGATAAGAAGAATTCCAAAATGATATAAAATAAATAATCACACAAAAAAATCTAAAGACTAATACTATTTCCATTTATATTGATTAGTTTTATTTTTTATATCTAATATGGATGATGTTGAACGTATTTGTTCAAGAGTTTCTTGTAGATTTTGTGCTATATCCGTAACAGCATCCCTTGATGATGGTTTTTGACATTGCACTAACATTGAACGACATGATTGATCGATTGTAGTAAATTTTTCTATAATTTTCTCGAAATTTTCTCGTGTTAGGTCATTTCGAAGTTCAGCAGTGACGTCAGTTTTTTTACTTGAAACACTTAACAGTAATTCAATAATTTGTAAATATGTATCAGCTAAATTCTTTTTCGCTGTTTCACCTTTTGCTCGTATCGATTGTGCCACACCTTTTATTGTAAAAAAATAATAAATTCTATAAAAAAAAAACAATAAGACTGTAATAAAGACTTACTATTGATGATTCGAATCTAAAGTTAAACAGAAAAACCAAAAAATAATGTCTTCGTTGAAGTTAATATTAATTAATAAATACTCACAATACGCCACAAACGAAATGATATAAATAATAAAGAAATTTCTGCTATAACATTCGGTTTTTGTAAAAAATAAATATCAACAACAAACGAAACAATAACAATAGCTGCATCTAGCCATTCCATTTTTTTTTCTCGAAAATTCCACCATTTTTTTCCAAACGCATATATTTTGACAATGACTTCAAGAACGAATATAGCTAATAAAATAATTGATGCATAATGTAATAATTCAATAGCTAATTCTAATTTTGGATTTTCTACTTCTTCATGATGTGATGTATTTTTTGCTTTACTATCACATTTTTGACTTAAATAAATAAAATCGAGTAGTAATTCACTCACAACAAGTACACAATCGATAAGTACAAGAACTACAACTGCTATGTGAAATATTGTCTTTTCGACAACATGAATAATGGCACGTTGATGATTGAACTTTATATTCCACCAATAGTTAAAACACGAACAACAAATATTATCACAGCAATCTTCGTTTGCCTTTGTTTCTTGATCAAGTTGCTCAATTGTTCTTAATGTACTTAATGATAAATAATTATCGACTGGATCGATACCACTTGATATATTTCCTCTATATGATGTTGCCATTCTTCTTTTTGTGTTTGAATCTTAGTTTTATTTTTTCTTATTTTATCAGAAGATTATTTTATCTTGAAGTATTACACACACGAAACACTGTCTGTCTTATCAGTCAGAAAAAGAACGAAAAAAAAGAAAAAACGATTAAAAGTAATTATCTTACTACTTTACTTCGTTTTTTGAAACAGTTGATAAACAATATTTCAATTTTTTGTTATGAATTTTTCGACAAAAATAAAATTGTAATAACATTATTCTATTGATTCAATTAAGAGAATCTTCGTGGACAGAAAATGTCAGAACAGCTCTATAATACATTTCAGATAAAATCAATCATTCAAAAATCAGTCGTTAGACGTCCACAACATTTATGATGATTCATTGAAAAGTTCATATTTAATTAGCATTTGATGGATGCTACATAATACGAACAAATTCGATGTTAGTTGAGAAGAAGAAAAAACACATTTCGCTCAAATAGATTATTTTTATAAAATTGCAATAGATGAATTCGATTTGTTAAAAACTAACACTTATATGTTTAAGTGAGATAATCGAATAATGATTTATGTTGAATCATTTGGCTAAGGCAATATATCGAGATAGTGTCTAACTTTTAAAAAGAATATGCTATTCAACAGTAGCCGCCATTTTAATATACTTATAGAAGTATCATATTAGGAATATGGATTTCTCGTAATAGTTCTGAAAAGTAATAACCAAGATGATAATAATAAGTGATAAATAATATATAAATAAGATGGTTAGAGTACTTCTAATCATTGATTAGAGTATGAACAGAGATCAGAGTAGATAGATAGATATTAGATTGATGAACTGTAGCACAGTCAGAATTAGAATTATCAAAACCAATTTTTTCTTGGAGTCAATGTCGAAATTATATCTGTAATAGGCGCGCAAATTTTATTTCTACATATTAATAACTTCATTGTTCCTTGGTTAAATTTACAGATGTATAAATTTATTTCAAGGTAAATAAAGTAATAGTGAGACACTTTTATTTGGGATTAGTACCAAAAGATATAATGCTTTGACTAAAATAAGATTTGAACATTTTCTTAGAACTGAAGTAGCAGCCAAACAAAGCATTGCTCTGGCATTGTAATCTGATTTCCGATTCAACAAGTTCGACTCTGCAGGGCTCTAATATGGAGTGTATGCGTGTATGAAAATAATCATGATTGTGGATGGAATCAATACCCCAAGGAGCACTCTTTCTTATTCACAATACAAATTACAGTTTTTTCGTATTTTAATATGAAAAAAGAACATATATAAATATATTTGAATAATATTATATTTTGAAAAGAAGTAAAATTTTCTATTACATCAATTTTTTGTTTGTGGCAATTATGCAGCAGACCTAGTCTTTATACTTTTATAACAAGAAAAACGAGATCATACACCTAGATATTATTCGAAATGATTCTGTGTTACTTTGCCCTTTCATGAAAATCGTGTTTCTCGAAAAATCTTCAGAAGAAATCTCGAATAATAAACACTACCCATGTAGCCGATGTTGTAAAATGATGGACATTATTTTCCATTACTTTCGTAAATAATGTACATAATGTAATTATAATGCATTATCTTCAAATAATGATAAAATTTTCTAATAATCCATTGTTATTTTAATGAATTATTTGAAATTTCACCATTATTTCCCTACAATATATTACAACGCATTAAAATTAAAAAAAACAATGGAACTAAATTAATTAAAAATTTTTACGTGTTCAATACATTTTATTCCATTGTACTTCAAAATTGTAATGCCTTATAATGCATTGTCGGGAAATAATGGTGAAATTTCAAATAATTCATTAAAAAAACAATGGATTATTAGAAAACTGTATCATTATTTTGAAGAGAATGCACTACAATGCATGAAATAGGTTGTATTATAATTACATTATGTACATTATCTACGAAAATAATGGAAAATAATGTTCATTATTTAACATTATCGGCTACATGAGTATTATTGCATCAGTATATTGTCAGTCTTATTCATATGCGTAATATTGGATCTCTTGATTTGCTATCACTTCATTAGTGTAATAATTTATCATTCGTTATCATGCCTGACTTTGTTATTAATTGTTTTTATCACATTCTAAAATGATATTAATTATTAGTGATCATCAGTTATGCAAAAAAGGTTACAAGCAATGAAAATAACTACCAATAAAATAAAAAATAACTAATTGATATTTCTCTTATAAGCGAAGACATAAAAGCATTAGTTACTAAAATCATTGGAAAAAGATCAAGTTGTGACGAAAATAACAATTAATCGGAGTAATCATACTTGTTACCTATCATTAGGTAAAAAATAATAAATACTGATAGTAATATAGCATTCTTCTGAAGGATGCACCAGTACCAGTATTACTGAGGGTGTGGGTACCAGTATTTCTAGTTTGCCAGAGTCATCGGTGTCAACACATACCAGTATTGAGAGTTCCACTAACTAACACCTCCAATACTGGTATGTGTTGACACCGATGACTCTGGCAAACTAGAAATACTGGTACCCATACAACCAGTAATACTGGTATTGGCGCATCCCTAATCCTCCAACAACAACAAAAAATACGTGAGTTTCTTAATATTTGTTGTTGTTGTTGTGTTGTTGAAGAAATTATGTCACTAGTTCGAAATCTAATTATTTCGTGTCATTATAATATTTGCAAAAGAAGCTTATCACGATTAAATGACACCGATTCTAATAATAGTTGATGACAGCATACGTTATGGAAACAGGAAAAGAATCTTATTGAACTTCCTTGAAAAAGAAAATAACTATCTTTAACGAATAATATAACTTCTATTCCGATTGCCTATATATATATAATTAGAATATTTGTTCTGTTGCAAATAGATATCAAGTTTTCTATTTTCTATTTGGGATACTTCGTTTTTATTTCTCTCTCTCTCTCTTTCTTCCTTTAATGATACTACTACGATAAATTATAACTAATGCATAAAACCTTATTTTTTAATACAAATAGAAGTTGTTAAACAGGAAGAAACAACCAGAATTAGTCTATTGAGAAAACAGATTTACTCTAACTTTATATATAAATATATAAAGTCTCGACCCACAACACACTTCATTTTCGTAGGAAATAATCATCTTGCCACAGTATTTGTTCATCGATTTTTGTCAAAATATAAAATAATGTGATTCTTAATGTGCATTATTTTTTCCTAATTGATTTAATCAAGTAACTAACAATTATATATTCTCTGCCTTCTTTTATTTTTGCCGTTCTATCTCTTCATTACCGACCCATATTACAGAAAAAAAAACGTACAAAAAAAAGAACAACCGGAACCTGACAAATATCCTCACAAAAAACAACATTTGTAGCAATAAGACAAGAAATATAGATCTTAGAAGAGAGTAACAGAAATCGACCGGCAAGCGTTAAGTGTTTGTGATTCGCACAAGAAAATTTCTTGAATAAACAACAACATAATAGACAAGTGAATATCGTGCGTACACAAATGAATATGACGAAAAAAGAAAACGATTCACTCTTTAACATAAGAGTTCATAAAAATAACAGACAGAGGAAAAAGAGCTGAAAGCATAGATATAAACTTTGCTAAGTGATTGGCCTTTCGCTTTTTCCTTCATGAAAAAAATTAATATTACACTTTTTTTTATTGTGGCAAAAAAGAAAGAAAGAAAGAAAACAAAGTTTTTTCATATAGAAATAAATATATATTTATATGAATAAGAGAGAATAACTTCTATATATTAGAATTAGATTGAAAAAAAAATGTACAACACAGAAGAAAAAAACAGAAAAGAGAACAAGTGGTCTTCTTTTTTTTTCTATTTTTGGCTATGTCAGATCTTAATTACTTATCCACGAAATTTCGACGACTAGACGATGGTTCGTATATGGCCATATAAATGAATAGTATGACTCTAAATTATCATCTATCATTTATTTTAGTTGCTGATGAACGTCGAAAATTTGATGATGATGAACGTGATCGATTTTTACGTTCATTGGGTACTGAATTTGGTCGATTTTGTACGCGAACACTTGGTTTAAGACGTCCAATTTTTATATTGACTCGTCCATGTGGAAGTGTCTAGAATAGTAGCACAAAAGAAGATCAATTATTTAAAACAAAAATATCTTTTCATAAATAAAATCTTTACTTTGAGTGTATAGGCAACATGTTCATAGGCTGCAGTTCTTAAATCTTGTCCATTTACTTCAAGAATTAAATCACCAGACATTAGTCGACCATCTTTTTCTGCACATCCACCTTCGAGCTAGTTAAAAAAAACAAAAAAAATATTATTTTTGATAAAAATCTTTATATTTACAATATGCGAAATAAATACACCATAACCATGTCGTCGTCCAATAATGCTGAATCCTAAAGAAAATAGAAAGAAACAGATTTAAAAATAATGAAAACAATCGTTTTTATTTTAATTTATACCAAGTCCTTTCCCAGATTTTTTAATTAGATCAATTGTTATGATGTCAAATTTATCTTGTTCATTCGTCATTTCATCTAGAGCTTTTCCTCGTAAAACAAGTATACGAACAACAGTTGTTGCTTGTCGTAATGCTTCAATAGCTTCTTCGTGTGTTGCTGAACGCAAATCAATGGAATTAACTTCGAGTATTTGATCACCAACAAGTAATCGGCCATCCCGTTGTACAGCACAACCTTCATAAATATCATGAATAATAATTGCTGACTAAAAATTTAAACAAAATTTATTTTCATTCTATTGGAAATATTTTTACCAATTGTGTATCTGATCCACCAACAACTGAAAGACCAAGTCCAGAATGACCGCGGTCAATTTCAACTAATGTCTCTTGTCCCACAAGTATAGATCGTACACGCGGATCATCTTCTGATATAGTATCCATATCATCTAATAAAAAGAAACATTCTCAGTATAAAAGTCTATCTAGGGAACTGTTGTTTTTTTTTACTTGGAATTAATGTTGGTAGACTTTCGGCTTGATTTATACTAACAACAACTGGTTGAGTTTGAGGTTCTCGATATGGTAAACATGTTAAATGTATTTGGTTACTATTTGCATGTTCTAACATATCCTGTATATCATTGAATTTTAATACTTCAACTGGTGTTCCATTTATTTGAACTAATTGGTCACCGGCTCGAATATCTTGCTGGAAAAAAGTGAATAAATAAAATTTTCATGTAAATTTTGTCTTTAGACAAATATATTTATTTATATATACTTGATCAGCAGCTCCATGGGGTTGAACACTTTGCACCCATATTGCATCATCATGTTGAGTTAACGTTAAACCAAACGAACCTTTCTGATCCTAAGCATTGAAATAGACAAATAAAAATCGAAAATTGAATTCGAAAGAAAAAACAAAACCTACCTTATTTAATATAAGTGTGATTGATGTACCTTGTACTGACATTGAGGAACGTCGAGGTACTTGTACTGATGAAGATGCTATTGATTTTCGAGTTGTATGCTCAGTTGATGATGGTGTTGAAACTGAAAGTGATGATGAAGAACTCGAAGATGACGACATGATAGAAATAGGCGATGTAACAGCACCGTTCGCTGTTGTTTTTATGGGTAATGCTAGTATTTCTGGTGAATTATCATCTTTATTTTGTTTATTAGGTGATGACATATTGACATCTAAAGGCGATATGTTATTTTTCTGGCTTTCTAATTCGTTTGATTGCGGAACTGAAAAAGAATTTTTGGGTGATACTTCATCTAAGAAATAAATCATTCTCGTTTTCTATCTCTTTATATTTAAAAACAAACACAAACTTTGATTTTTCTCTGAAGCATTGCCTGTGGTAGAGGCTCTGGTTTGTTGATTATCAATGGAAATATCTTTGTACGATTGAATTTTATTTTCTAAATATTTATCATCTTCAAGATTTGCTTGCTCATGCATTAACACAGAAGATGAAGTTGTTGTCATTGATGGCAGTAGTGTCGACATTGATTCGTCATTTTCATATGCAGACGATTGTTGATCGAATGAAGATGGAATGAAACGACGAGTAGGAGAACTTATATCGGAAGAAATAGAATGTAACATCGTGGTCGTGGCATTACTACTAATATTATGATTGAATGATGAAACTTCATTGTTGTCGCTTTGAACGTCAGTAGTTGTTATTATTCGATTAGACGACAACGACGACGATGATTTTAGCATTTCTTCATCAACTGATAATTTTTCATCTTTTGTTGTTGTTGTTGTTGTTTGTGGTATAGAACATGTTCTACTATTCTTATTTTTTATATTTTCAATCTCGTCATTTGTATCTGTAGTAAAACGAAAAAAAACTGATGTCGATGCTCTTCTATCATAATTTTTGCCTTACATTCATAGGCATCCGTTTGGTGCCTGGGGACATGGGCATGATGGCTGACATCATTTGTCGTCTGTTGTTCTGGTGTGGGTTCTAACGATGATGATAATGATGATATTTGCTTTTGTGGTGATTTGAGAGATGTTGAACAGATTTGAACACCAGTCGATGCCATCGTTGATACCTTAATTCAGAAAATAAAAACAGAATACACCAATATTGTTAATCAATCATATATTCGGCATACTCGTATACGTGCTGCAGCATGTTGATTGCTAAAAGCCATATCATTGATTGAATCGGGATTTCTAATTGAGAATTTAAGTAAAAGAAAACGTAAACATTTTTTCTTCTTACCGAAGTACGACGAAATTTAATGTATCAGCTTTAATCGACTTAATAATTGGTGTCACTGCTGAATGTGCCTTACCCAAAAGAATTTCACCATTAACCTGTAAGAAAAAAAGAGCGAATGAATCGTTTGTTTTCGTAATGTTTTCTTAAAGATAGAAAAAGAAGAAAAAGTCACTGCTAATATTAAAATATCATTATTTAAACAATATGAGCATGTCAAAAAGCACTGCTGCTTTTTTTCTTCACCATATATGAATATAAATTATTCTACGAGATATATGAAAAATGGCGAGTCACGCAAGTATTTCGATAGATTATATAGCAGAGTGTTTTGTTGGTCTGACAACATGAATGCTGAAGAAAGGAGAATTTCTTGTTTTCTCCATTTTTTCCTTCTTTTACTGGATTTTTTTCGCTGTGTTTTCTTCGCCTTTGTCGTTGTCGTCTTTTTTTGTAAAAATATCACGCATAGTGAACAGGAAATTCACAAAGCGAGTTTCTTTTTTCCCGAACGCGATTATAGTCACGCATTAAATCTCTCAATTAGAAAGCGGAAACTTTCTTATTTCTTTTTTTCTTCTTTTATCAGAACAGAATAAAATCACCAAAGAACATTCTTTTTTTACTTCAAGTAATTGATCGCCTGGACGTATGCGATTGTCACGATCAAGTAACGAACCAGATTGAATATCACAAACAAAAACAGCTAATTTGTTTGAATCCCGATGTCCAATCAGAGAAAGTCCAAGTGGTTCATTAATTTCGGTTATATTTCTTTTGATATCAATAAAAAATAAATCACCATTTAAATGTCCATATTGTTTACTGAATTCATCAGTTTTGCGTTCATTTATTAAAAGATTTTGGTTAGTAGTTAAACTTTTATTTTGCGATAGAGAATTAGTTGGAATGTGAGAAACATTTATAGATGAATAATCAATTGTTGATGACGTAGGATTTGCTGGATCAAGTAAACTTTGTACTATGAAATGAACAGGTGATTGAGCAGCACGAATTATCTCAACGGCACGATCATGTGATGCATCACGTAGATCATATCCATTTACATCGAGTATACGATCACCCGTTTTCAATGTACCATCACGTCCAGCTGGGGAATCAGGTAAAACATGTTTTATAAATATACCCGATATGCATGATTCAATTGTATTTCCTGGACCGGAAAAATCTAATTTACCACCAACAATACTTATTCCTAAACTCTTAACATGTTCACTACGATGAAGTGTGACTGTTCTTGGCGGTCCCCACAATGTTGCACTTAATGTTTCACTATCAATAATTGTTGTATATGTTTGTTGATTAGGATGAGAGTCAAATACATATGAATCACCATGTTCCGTGGTTGCTGTCGTCGTCGTCGCTGTTGTTGCTGTTGTTGTTGTTGTTGTGGGTGTTGTTGTTATTACAGGTTTAGTTAAAGAAGGTTCTACATTAGAACAAGTTATTCTATAAATAAACATTTGAAGAAAAAAAGTTGTTTGTAATTCGCTTTATTAATTTTTTTACTCGGGTGGCACGGGTGATGATGCTGTTTGTGGGTCGAGTGTATGACTTATAAATTGTTTAGCTTCATCTCCAGGAATGAAAACGACACTAGAACAAGATGACATAACATAAGAAAACAAATTATATGAAACGATGGAAAAAAATAGTTTATTTATTTGAATATATACCTGATATCTGACCCAATGAGTGAGGCACGCCGTATAATTGAACGCGCTTGTGCATTGCTAATCTTTTTCATATTTTCATTATTAATTGATAAGATATAATCACCTAGTCTTAAACCATGTTGATTAGAAAGAGTTGGTGTTGGTGTTATAGAACGTATAAAACATCCATTAACACCTTCATCAACGTATGCATCAACAACTAAACCTAAACAAAAAAAGAAAAGATTGTTTATTTTTCTGACATATATATATATATATATATATAATGAATTTTTTTATTTATAAATTACCAAGTTGATCAAAATTCTGTTTAACACGTATCTCACGTTCAAGATACACAGGTAATTGTATGACTTCATGGTTTAGAAATGTAATAACTCGTCCGGAAGACTGTGAACTAGTCGATAGAGCTGGTGATGCCATACGCGACGATTGTCTTGATGAAGTCCATTTAGGTGCTATAGTTGGAGTTGTGGGTGTTTTTAAAGTGGGTGTTATTATACTATTATTTTCATTTTTATTATTTGTAAGAATTCGTTGATACTGTTTAATGATGGAGTCAACTTCATGTGCATCTTCGTCTATAATTGATGTGGCTGCGTTTGGAGTTGTTTTTGTTGGACAAATAACATTTTTTATCGAATGTCGATGAGTTAGTGGAGACGATGACGATGAAGAACGTGCAGCATCATAATTATTATTATTATTATTATTATTATTATTATTATTATTATTATTATTGTGTTCGTCGTCACTACTCAAGTCAGGCTAAAAAAACAACAGAAAATAATCAGTAAACAATGATTTTTTTCTCTTCGTCTCGTTTTTCTTCTTAGCTTCAATAATGATGACGAAAAAGAGAATAATCGATGAGAAGGAAAAAAGAAGAAGAAGAAGAAGAAGAAGAAGAAGATAATGAGTGTTTGCGTAGCTCTCGAAGAGACTTGTCATAATTGATAAACGAATTTGTACATGAGAACAGATGAAAAAACATTGCTCTATATCTCTTTTTCCTACTGGCAGATCTTGCTGTTATTACTAGACATATTGCTACTGCTTCTGTACTGTGAACTGTATCTTAGTAGAAGATAGATCAATATGCTTATGACAGAAACAACTAATCTATGTCATCGAAGCAAACGAGCACGTGTATAAGACTCAATCTGCTAATCATAATTGACTTGAATGCAAACAGACGCGCTCCGGGGGGATCGAAAGAGAGTCATCCGTTCGTACAATTACGCTGACGGCTCAACGATCATTTCCTTATGTATTTATTACAGCATCACGTTGTATATGTTTAATAAAATTCAACTCTCTTTCTCTTTATTCTATCGGTTAACAATTCATAGCAGATATAAAAAAAAGAATGAAGAAGCAAAAAGACGCAAGAAAAAAAAAAGAAAAAAAATATGCGCATGCTTAGCGAACGAACAACTAGAGCGTGAGGCAGACACACACACAAGTATACACACAAAAGAATAACAGACGAATAGAAAAGCAAAGAAAAGACCGGGCAGCTACATAACGGCGACAACAAATAGTAATTCTTTCTGTCCGCCTTTTTGGTGTAGTACCACAATAGGCGCGCGAGCGCTTGCTTACACACACATAGAGAAGACACAATGTTTCTTCTCCTTTTCTTTTACTTCTTTCTATTTTTTTTTTTTGGTTATGTTGTCTGGTTTTGTGTTCCTCTATCTTTACAAGGCACTACTAAGATTTTCCTTGAAGAATAAGACGGGAAGAACGACAAACCAAAAAAGGACTATAATTGAAAAACAACGGCTGATGAAAGGAACACAGTGCATTATTTATGAATCTTTTTTTTTCGCTAGACCACACACACGCACTCAGTAACAAGTGAATTTACCGCTGATTCTTTTTTTTAGAAAACAAAATCATAATTATTATAGACGAGAATATACAATATAATGTTCTTTCATAACAAAGTAAATATTAGGCTCAGCATGAATTCGAGAAAATCAATAGACTTAATTAGAAACAGAATGTGGAGAGAGAAAAAAATATCAAACACGTCTTACCCGAGAACAAACATGATCGGATTTTCGTGTACAAACAAGACAAAAGCGTACATTGAAATATTCACGAAATTTCGACATTTATTTTGACGAAAATAAGCGTTTTTGATAGTTATAGATATATATATACTAGTTGTATTTCTATCGTCTTGTTATTTTTGCACATGTCTTATTGACGGATTTCACATAGATTATGTTGATACGTGCATTTCGAATCATCTATATTATCTACCTGTCGAGCATACTACTACTATTATTATGGACACACCTTGCTCATTCGGACTGCAATCATTCTTTTCGAATTAGTTCGGTTTTATTTAAGTGACGTGACATGCGAAAATAAAGGGAAGGCCTTCATATCTGAAATTATTTTTGACTAATCGAATCAGTGTGCATCACATATGTGTATACCTCACTGATTTTTTTCTTTCTATCCGAAGGCATAACATGTCTGTGTATTTAACTTATTAGAAATGACGGTTCGATTACTGGATCAACGTTCTGATCAAACGTGATACCAAGAAAGATACTAATATGTTATCTTTCTCGTTCATTGTCTCTCATATATCACATACCTTATTGGATTTCTTCATATGGTTATGTTAAAAAGTCATGAATCCATCGAAGATGCTGATTGTGAACAATGTGATGTACATGTATGTACGTATTCAGAGAAATAGAAAGCATCAGCGAAAGAAGATAAAAATCAAGATATAATCAATGCCAAAAAAAAGAAATCCAAAAGCTACAGGAAACATCGAACAGAACAGAAACTGTGTATTATAGTATACGATAATCTGAGCAAGAAAAAGAAATGGGTATATGCATTCGAAGAAAAGAGATCGTTTCTCGCGTTTTAATCAAGATGCATCCGTTATGTCGACAACGCTGCTGTATTCCATTGCTACTGCTCAAATGTCAAAAGCGTTCTGTTTTGTTCTTTTCCAGTATGTGTTCTCAAGAGACTGACTGCTCTTCTTTTTCTTCTCTATGTCTTTCTATCTCCAATGACTAGTCCAGTCTTAACTCTTGTCGTCATCAGCATTGAAACTACATTCAGCCATACGAGGACTATTGTAACCATCATCCTCTTCGTCATCATCATTCTCGATTATAATCCAATTTGTTCGGTATATGTGAATTTTCGTCCGCGTATTTCCCCCCCTCGGGCAGTGAATGCTGCTGGCTTAAACAGACGAGTCCGAAAAGAAAATCACTAATCTACTCACTTCATGGAAACATGCTATTGAGTCAAATTTATTTGTCATTTGTCTCAACGATGATGGTCGCATAATATGGATTTGTTCTTGGTCACATTGATTACTTGTATCATGAGTTTGTCGTAATCGGGATAATCGTTTCACTGAAGAATAACTTGTATGCGGTGAACCAGTGGATGTGATTCTTACTAATGTTTGAGATATTATGTTATTATTATTATTATTATTATTATTAGAATTATTATTTGTCGATTGTCGATTAAATTTCGTTGCTGTAAAAGCAGATAAACCACGTAATCGATCATAAGATGGATGAGAAATTATTTGGGGTATAAGCACAAGATGATCTGACTGAAAATCTTGAAATTCAGGTAAATTTATTGTAATATCTGGTGGTAATTTTTGTGTTGTTAATGTGGATACTTTTCGTGGTAAAAAGTCGAGATATTCTTCTCTATTTAATTGTCGAATTTGATCTTTTCGAGATTGCACAGGTTCAAATGGAGAAATTCTTGGAGATATTCTGTCGGGACAAGTTGTCCGACTAGCACTTGATGCTCGGGGTACAATATTTTTTTTCATATTTTCCTTATCTACTAATGATTCCAAATATTCGTGTTTACTTAGAATAGCTGGAGCTGATAATGCAATACCAGCTGGTACAGCTGGTCGTTTTATTGATGAGGAACGTGAAGTATGATGAGTTGAAGCAGAACGCTAAAAAGATGAAAATGAATTTTATTTAAATTTTCGAGTTTCATTATAAAAAAACTATTATTTTATGTTAAAGAAAAAAATAATAAGAAGATAAATGATATTCATACAAATAAATGTTAGTTGAATATGATGAAATTAATATGTTTTGTTTTTACGAAGTAGTTATAGAAGTTATTCTTTGTAAGAGGATAGACTAGAAGAAATACTAGATAATCTTAATAGGATTATTTCATTAGATTATAATAGCATTTTCTACGCTTTTCTGACTTGAAATTAATTAGAACTTGATAAATAAAGCAGTTATGTGATTATTCTTGAAAATGATTTTTAAGTTTTCTCTTATGTTAATTGACATCTACTTCTATTTATGTATTGTTAACATTTAATAAATGTTATGTTTTACTCAAACTAAATTCTCTGAGTTTATGTCGAAAATTTTCTATCTCTCGAATCAACATAACATATGTTCCGTTAGATGTATACTTTGTTATTACAAGAAAATCTTCATGGAAACGATGTTCACCCCAAGGTTATTGATTATTCATAAGTGTATACTGGGTGTAATCAAAATATTAGAATAGATAGTTCAACAAAGAGCTTATAACTTTGTTGTAAGTGTACTCTAGAGATATCATGGCCTGTAATATGTAAATAATCTCTATACTATGAACAATAAAAATCATTTTGAACATATCTCTCTTTTACTATTCTCAACTCAATAACGCATTTTTATTTAATATGCAAACAAAACTTACTCTTCGAAAGTATTTACAGAATAATATCTTTGAAGAACATATATTAAGTAGTGCGTATGTGTAAACAATAATGGACTGACAAAGCATCAAAAGAAAGTCTGCATGTATAATACACTAAAATTAGCGTGCACTAGCATAAACATAGACGAAAATGACTTCCTGTGTGTTTATGGTAGGACGATCTATAATTTAATACAGCTTTCTGTTTTTTTTTAAGAACACTAGTAATCGATTATAGTCTATAGATGATTATTTTATTAATCATTTTATGTTTTAATCGAATAAAAACATCGTTCCATTAGTATTGAATTGATGTTTTAGGAATGATTACAGAGAGAAAAAGAATCATTCGTATAATAATAATTGAATATTAATCACATATGTTTCATAAGAAGGATGAAAAATTCTACAAAATTTTTATTTTTTCATACAAAATGCCTTACATATTTTTTTTTCTAAATAATTCTATATTCAATCATAGTAGAGAAACAGAGAATAACTTCATCATATCGTGATCAACTTATTTGATTTAAAACGAAAAGCCTAAGAAGCTCATTTGTTTCCTTATTCTACTATAATTCTTCTTTGTCTCAAACAAAATAAAAAACGAGTATTTCTTCGAATACTCGTAATGGAAAATAATAATTGAATAAATTTCTCATTAGCTATATGAAAGAAAATCCTATTAATGTCAACCAACTTTGATCTATAAAGAATACATATAATAAAAGATTCTTTTTTCTCCTTCTATACTCGCTAATCGAAAAAAAAATTCGATTATCAACACGTCACTGCGCGACCTATTTAGTAATTGTAGTAGTTTATTAAAAATTTAAATTTATTCTCAATTGATGAGCTTGCTTGTTCTTTGATCATAAGAACCAAAAACCATCTAATGGAAATCTATTGTTAGTAAACAAATAATTCATTTACATCGAACATAATATTTGAAAATTAAGTAAACAAATGATATTCTATTGACCTTTATATATGTTTACATAAACAAAATAGATGAAAATAAAATAAATCTAATTACTTTATGATTATTAATAGTGGCAGTCATTGTTGAACTTTTACTAATACGTGATGCACGTTGATTTATTTGATTAGTAGTGACTGCATCTTGATCACTATCGGTTGTAGTATTATCTTCATCGTTATCGTTTTTAAATTTGGGATATGGCAATGGCTTTGATAAACTTAATTTAACAGGACCTATTGGTGTTGATTTTAGGATTTTAATAACATCATCTAGAGTCATATTTTCAAGTGTTATATCATTGACAGCAACTAAACGATCGCCTGGAACAATTCTTCCGTCTAATTGTGCAACGCCACCAGGTACTAATGCACGTATAACAATAACAGGTGAATGACTTGGATTTGATGGATCTTGATAATCAAGTACAGAAAAACCAAGGCCATGATCACTTTTATGTAATTCAACGTTTATAATTGATGTTGACCATAAAGCTAAATTTGAAATCACTTCGAGAGAACGAGATTTATATTGTTGTGTTATGCGTGTGGATGATGAGTTATGATTGAATGATGAATTCTGTGCATCTAATGTTCCCATACTTTTAGCTTTAACAACAATTTCAGTCGTTTGTCCGAATGTGATTGAACGTGAACGACTATGATTGTGAATATTATTCGTTGTAGTAGTTTCGTTTGTTTGAGAAATTTTTCGGCGACCACAAACAAGTTTTATTTGATGTTTAACACGTTTAAGGATTTCAATGACATTGATATGATTTTTTCCATATAGAATTTGATTATTAACCTAAAGAAAAAATCAATTTAAACAAAAAAGCCAGGCATACTTTTGAATATTGGAAATTCAATTTTCTTACTTCTAAAAGTTCATCACCAGCTTTTAATGTTCCTTCTGTACCAATAGGTCCATCACGCAATAATGCGCGTATATAATGATGAGGTCGAACTTCTTCACCATTTTCAATATCAACTGTACCTTCAAGTGTTATTCCAAGACCACCATTATCAGGTTTATAAACATCAGTGACTAATATATCATAATTGTTTCCTAAAACTTTAATCCATCTTTGACGTATTTGTTCATAAATATCAACTTGAGATTGAAATTCAATTTTTTCTTCTAATTGATGTGATGATTCAAGAGCTTATAAAAATAGAAATGAGAAAATTAAATCAACCTTTTTTCTTGAAACATAAAACAATCAACACTACCTATCATTTCTTTTATTTTTTCAAATTTAATACCATCAAGATAGCGTCGAGCTTTAAGTCGTACAGATGAACTTGTATTTTGTAATAAATAAAGTGCTTGAATATTAGAAAAGCCATTAAGAGATTGATCATTGACTTCAATAATTTGATCGCCAATCATTAAACGACCATCGCGGAAACATACGCTACCTTCAGCTATATCACGAATGAATATACCGGCTATGGCATCTAAAAATGCACATAGAAATGTATTGAAATAAAAACACTTTCTCTCTCTCTCTCTCTCTCTCAGCTCTTTTTTTCTATCTGTGACAAAAAGACTTCAACTTCCTCGCAAAGAAATTAGTCTTTTCACTCATATTAATTTTTTAGAGAAGCATAAGAAATGAGAAATGATGCAAACCATGACTTGATCCATCGTTCTGTTTTTAATTACTATAGGTCGAGGCTGGTACTGACAATTTCCCTTCTTTAGAGTTTTGATTGAATCGTACTTTTTTTTTAACAATTCGAATATGTTCTATGGAAAAACAGACTTTTTCCTTCCGATCAGATTTCCTTTCACTTTTCTTTCAAAAATAAAAACGAAAAGCAAAGACAAACAAAATTTACCATTATTTGTTGAATCAGGACTAACATAACCAGCAACAGTAATCCCTAAACCGTCATCACCTTTCTCTAATGTTACATCCAAAAGTTGTGTCCCATCTTCATATTGACACTAAACACATTGAAACAATAGAATAATGATAGTTATACACAAATAAATAAAAACTAGAAGAAAATCGAGCAACTCGTTGCCGTAACATTGTATTATTAGTGTTATCAGCGCTTTCTTACACTCGATTCTAAAGAAGGCGAAAAAAAAGAAACGGAAGATTAACAATCGACAATCGACTCGCACTCGTCTTGCTTCTTCAATGGAATCGACAGCATAGACACGCACATTCACTAGTGTGAATGGTTGTTTCTTTTTCTCTCTTACATATTCTCTTTTCCAACTATTGGGACTATCAGAGCAACCTGCCATAACTATGCTATGTGCACAGAACCTTGAGTCGAGAAGTTGACGAGAATGATGCAGGGTGAAGAAAAGAAAGTGCCTAAAGGATCCGGAGGATAGATGAAAAAAAGAGAAAAGGATGCCAAATAAGGGAGAAAAATAGGAATTAGAGGAAAGTGAGAGAGGCGTTATACCAACACGCAAACGGCTAGTCGCGTTTTACAAGATAATTAATCGTTCTCGTCCTTTTTTCTCTTCCTGTTTTATATCATTAATACAATATAGATATGAACCTGCTCACGAAGATTTTCAATAATTTTTTCAAAATTGTGATTGTTTTCAAGTAAACGTTCAGTACGAATTAGAATCCGATTTTGCGAACTATTTATTATTCCATCATTATCACTAATCATTGATAAAGGTGTCGTAGTTGATTTTGCATTATTATTTATTGTTCCTATCAAAGTGTCGGATGTGGATGATGGACGTTGTGTCATTAATGCTGAAGAATTCATCTTAATGTCAGCTGCGGTTGTTATTTTTGTTGTTGTTGTTGTTGATGATGATAATGATGATGATAATGAAGTTGTTGAAGCGGCTGGTGGTTCACGTACACTTCGTGCAACAACAAGACGAACTTGCTGAGAAGATTGTCGAAGTATACCAGCTACTTGTTCAGAGCTCATACCACGTACAAAGACATGATTTATTTGAAATAAGTGATCACCCGTATGAATGCGACCATCCTATATAGGAATAGACCAAAAAGCGGATATTAGGAATCTTTGATGTATTGCTCATCAGATTGGTAGTATATAAAAGCAAATGAATGCTTGTTTCTCTCGTCCGTGCTATTTTCTCCTCTCGTTCTTCTATTTTTTTTCTTTTACAAGTATATATGCATACTGGCTATCTTTCATTAGACCAATTTATTTTCTTCCTTTCTTCCTATTTTTTTTCTAAAGGTTTTTCTATCTGCGTTGTTTTTCGGCTCCTTCCTATGCTTTCTCTTGATTGAGCAATTTAAAACAAAAGCAACTGCAAAGAAGAAAATGCAACTAAATATTACTTTATCGACAATTGAACCAGGTACAATTGCTTTGATAACAACACCCGTTGATTTATTGCCAGTGATGCCAAAGCCTAGTCCAGATCCGTCGTTCGTTAATTCGACAACTTCAATTTGTGTCCACAATGTATTTAGCTAAACAAAATCAAGATGTATATATATATATATATATATGTACGGATGTATATAGATATATGCACATATATTAAATATAGATAAGTATCTTGTGCATGTATCTATTTATTCATCTATACTATTAATCATAATCTTACCACCATGTCGACGTGAAAAGGCGTCGACAATGTCGGAACACAGCTGTGTTCGTCGTTGTTCGACGTTCCAACAGCCGCATGAGGATAATTAGTAGTTGTGGCAACAACAACAAGTTCAATTGATAAACGTGTTAAATCAAGAAGAAGTTGATGAGCACGAATGGCGAGTGTTGAATCTTGTGAATCAAAATAAATATCGTTGACACAAACTATTTGATCGCCTACACGTAGTTGATCATTTCTGAAAAAGAAAAATTAAAAGAAAAGAGCTATACACATGATTATATTTACATATAAGTATACACACATCATCAGAGACAATCCCGAATTTTGCTCACAAATTTCTCAATTTAGTGCCAAGAGAAATAGCCGAACGAAGAGAAGCAGAAAAAGAAGAAAAAGAAGAAAAGAATGAAGAATGTTGTTCTATCTTTGTAGTCCCTCAACGTCTAAGATAATTTAATTTTCATGATAAAATATCCATCGTGTGCACATAAACCAGCAATCTTCATCCTTGTTATCATTACTTTCCTAGCATTATTACCAATATATAAAAGTTACAATAACATATTTCATATGGCGTGACTTTAGTGTTCGGTAAAAAAATCATATGTATCTCCTCACTTATTATATTTTGTATATAATAATAATGCAATAATAATAATAATATTCGTAATTCTTACATTGTTGTCAAAAATAATTTTTTCCTCATATGTTCTATTAGATAATAGAACATAAAACTAGGTGAGATGATTGTAGTCTTTTCATTCAAAAACCTGTTTCTATTTCCTTTTCATGATGATGACAGAGATGATGATGGTGATGATGATGATGATGATAATGATCTATTCCTTCCGCTCATTCTTTTTTTGTTTCTTTTTATATTCAACGGATTTATCCTCTATAACAATAGTTGATGATCTCTCGAGACCCAGACAAGTCGATTGATTCTTTCTTTTATTTCCATCCATAGGCCAAAAAATAAGAATAAGCGATATCGATTTTTTTGTTTGTCGTGTCCTTTTCTTTGACTTCTTTGCCTAATAGATGGCACTAAATTAAAGCGTATCTGTAATCTCGAAACTTTTCCTCGATATATTCTTCAGGCAAAGTTGTCAATGCATATTTCTCTTTTTGACTTTTATGTGCGTGCCGACAACTGTCAAAAGTAGCAGAGCATATAGCATACACGCTAAAAAAGTACAAATGGAAAAAAGATGGTTCTTACTCAGCATGCATTCTTTCTATCAGAACAAAAAATTGACACGACAGCGCGAAAGAAATTATTTGTAAATCGTCTCTCTTTGCGCTCCCTTATCATAAAAAGAAAAAAAGAAGGAAAACACGACTTATTGCCACTGAAGGTCATGAAATAAGAAAGCACGAAAAAAAACTTCATTAAAGTACAGCTTTCGAAGAAGATATCTATTTCATTGATAGATTTAATTGTCTTGTAGATAATGGTATCATCGAAAATATCTAATAAATTAGATAGAATAATTATCTATTCAATTTTCAGTCTGTTCTTTTCTTTAAATAATGTATCGAGACAAAACAGATCTTGGTTCTCTGTTAATGAGAGTCTCATGAGAAATTTAAAAAAAAGAAATAACTAGACAGAAATAGGTGAGTAAATGCAGGCATGAAAAACAAACTTGGTACTCCTACTCAAAAAAATAACACAAAACGTAGAACTTACACATCGGCAAGGCCGTTCGGTTGAATATCATGAATAAAAATTGCATTAATACCAAATAAACGGTGTTTATACGCGATTATACTAAATCCTAATGATTCATTGGGTGTATTTTTATTTATAATAACTTTTCGAATGACACCTTCATTCGATAAATGATCGTTATAGTCGATATCTAAAAAAATTAAATTAAAAATTGATTCCATTATTAATAAAACAAACATATGATCAATTTGTTGTTTTACTTGAATTCGTTGTTTTCTCGCTGATTAATTTCAAATGACCGTCGGTATCAAAATCAAATGAACAACTTTTTATTAAATGATTTCCTTGTTCAAATTTAAATTTCAATTCTTGAAAAGATTCTTGTAAATTATATAATGTATTAAATAATGGACTATCAAGGATTTGTTGCAATGAATTAATATCAGGCTGCTTGTCGCAATTACTCTGTTGATATAAACGTTCGCTCAATCGTTTTAGTATTGTTCTGGCTTCTGAACAAGAAGAAGAAGAAGAAAAAAACATAAAACATAAAACATTCCCAGATAAGTTCATAGCAATTTAGATATATTTACCACATAGTTGAGCCATGATGATAAAAATAGATAATGAACGGAATGCATGACCCGAATCCTTTTATTGGTAAATATTATGATGTGTCTTTATCCTTGTCTATAATAGATGGAGAAGACGTAGATGGTGGAAAATCGACGAAGGCAAGCTTTCCAGAAAAAAAAAGAAAAAGAATTATGCCGTAAGACTAGAAACGATCGATCGATTGGATTTGTTTACGTTTCTTTTTTTTTCCCTCTTTTTCTTTTTTCTCTACTGTTTTACATACATATCATCGGAGTGGATTTTATTGGTGAATAAAACATCACTAATCACTAAAAAGCGCTACAGTCTGAAAAAGCCAATATTTATTAATTATAGTAGTAGTAGTAGTAGTGTGCAACATGAAAGGGAATATTGCAGTTTAATTACTAAATAGTTTTTTGACACGATGCTGGAGAGCATTATACCAAAACCAAAATTAAGAAAAAAATAATTCACTTAGACCTTTTACACAGATTGATGACGTCTAAAACGTAAAAAACAAAACTATACATTCCATGTTGTATTAAAAATCGTTATATAACGAAATAATGAAATCATGGAATTTTATATTTTTACTCATCTTCATTTTCAAAACTTAAATAATTTAACACAAGGGTGTATTTTCATTTATTCTAGAATGTCAAATTTGTTTAAATTCATTTGTTTCAAAAATTATTAATTGGCTATTTGATCGCCATGTATATTTATCTGACACATTTATTTTTTGATAAATATTTGAATAGGCATTCAAATAAATGCCATTAGAAGAATATTATCATTTGGTATATTGAATAGGTAAAGTTCATGGTTTTGAAGAATCTTCTATTCAATAGTATTTATATTTTATGAATGAATCAATATAGCAATTTCGTGTGCTGTTATAGATGGGTTACAATTGAATGATTATTGATTTTAATTTTAATTTTATTTTTCTATGTATTTCACGTAATAATTTGAACTTGAGATAGAATTTATAGTTAATGAAATCTTATTTTTGACAGGTTCAACATATGTCATAATATTAAGTTTTGTTTCTCATGAATGTGTTCCATGAATTTTAATTAGTTTAAGTTAATGTGATGCTGTATATGATGATATGTCATATATTTTTCTTTACTAGTAAAATTTTATGATGAATCTTTTTTAATTTCACATTGAATAGTTGCCCATTGTTTTTGAAGATGATGAATATGTCATCTCTAACATATTAATATATTTATGTTAAGAGGATAATCTAATTTATAATAGTTATATAAAGAATTTTCTTAACAAACCTGTAGCTTCAATTTAAAAGAGACTAAAAATTACTTTTTAACAGTATCTAAGACTGGAGAAATAATAAACTTTTAAACTCTCCGCAAGATATCAAATAAATTATGATAAGCTTTCCGAAGAACAAAATTAATCCATAAAATTGATTTTTTCATATATCCATTAAAAGTCTATGAGTACAATTAAATAAGTGAAGTATTTTCAAAAATATAAATCGGACAGAGAATTTCACTTCTTTTTTACAAAGATCTTACTTTTGTTGAATACTTTACAGAATTTCTAAAAATTAAAACACGATGCTTTATATTACTATGTATGGTTAGATATGTCAATATGTTGTATATTTCTATTCATTTCTATGTATCCATTAGCAGAAAACTATGCAATTGAATTAGAAATATTAATGAACAGTTCCGAAAAATATCGTTTGATTGTGATCTAATTAAAATATGACATTTACATTGCAGTCTAGATGGAAAAAGTTGGAAATAAATCGTCTTGAAAGAGAAAGTAATGACTTGACATATTGCTGCATTTATTACAAAGACATTCTATGTCTTATTTCTCAATAAAACTAACTTTATTATTTTTATCACGAGCTGTGTTTGATTAAGAACTCGAATTGAGCTTTTCTTTTGCTATTTTTCACGGCTCATGTCTTAGTCAAGTAATTTTAGTTCGTTGACGTTGTTTTCTAAGTCACATTAGAAGAGAAATAAATAAATGGATGAATGAGATCATCTCTAAATTAGTGAAAAACTATCAGAAATCAATAGACTTTTAACTAATTGGAGTGACTATCCGTGCTTCTCTTTCATTTTTAACAGTCTTCACTCATTTCCGGTCACATTTCATTTTATTAATTTCATTGAAATTCACAAATCTCTTTTCCACCTTGTTTGCTTTATTTGATACACAAAAATATCGAATCAGATCTATCGCGAAAATTAAAAAAGAATAATTAATGTTGATTTCAATCATTTTACAATTGTGATTTTCTATCAGAATTTGTTTTACTGAAAACCAGATCTCTGCATGAAACTATGGTTTGATTTCAACCTTCTAATTCATTGCATCTTTAACGGTGAAATATAATATTACAAATAATTAATAATAAAATCACTTCTCTTTTGCCTTTATTTTCTTATTGCTCCCCTTGTTTTGTTTGGATCCTCATCTGCCTGTCATTGTTCTACAGAGATCAATTGTTATCGTTGCAATTGCTATGATATTCTTAGTTGTATGCTATTTTATTATTAGTTTCACCGATTCTTTTCCTGGTTGCATGGAAAACTTCTACTTTTACAATCAACAAAAGAAGAAAAAAAACAGCCGCCAAAGATTTATTAACTATTACCGATGAAATTGGAACGAGCTGGTTGACTGTTATTTTGACATTATTATTAAATTATCTACAGATAGACATATATGAACACTTATGTTATTGCGAACACAACAAGATGGCAGGTAGACGTATATTATTTTTTTAATTGTAAATAAAGATTTGAGAAAAAAGTATTCAGATGAACAAATCCTTTGAAAAATAAAAATAAAAAGTATTTATAATTTGATTTTTATTAGATATTCACTGGGTTTATAATTATTATGTTCGTATGGAATATTTAACCAAACTAGTAGAATTATGTATTGTCACACCTAAATGTAAAGTTCCCTTCATTTCATATGGTTTGTTAAAAGCACGCTTTTATTTCATGAGCAAATCCTTTCTTTTCCCATAGAATTCTAAGATTAAACAAAGTTCACTACTATTTCAACGAGTTCACTTTTAACAATTATTTTTACGTATGAAGATATAATTCAACTTAATTTTGAATATTTTCTAGATATAAATTTTAAAATGATTTTCAATTAATGTATCTAGCAAATCAACATGTCTAAAATGTATAACATTCGAGTATTTTTATTTGTAAGACAAAAATAGTTCGATTATTGAAAAAACCTAATGAAACAGAATTTATACTTAAACGTGTAAATTTCATGGTGTAACATCATATAGATTGAATAAAAGAATGCTCACTGTTCAATAGCTTAATTTGATCTCGTCTTTAGGATTCTTTTGAGACCAATTGATGGAGATTATTTGTCCGGAATAAAAAAAAAACAAGAAATGGCTGGATATGATTCTGATGGGTAAGGCAGAGATCTAAATCAGCAACAAATTTCCTTAAAGTTTCAACTTTCATTGGCTCTGATTTATCCGGTAGCAAACAGATTTTTTTCCAAAAACTAAAAGATTGTTTTTTTTTAATTTATTTATATAAATTAATTTTTTTCTACTTTTGTTAAGTTGGCAGATAAAAGTACGAGTAGCTCTCTAAAATTTCTTGATTACAAATATGTAAGCAGAATTTTTCTGACTGTTCAAGTAATTTTCCTTCATTCGTTCTTAGTAAGATGAAAAAATATTTAGTTTTTCTAGAATTAGTTTTTTTCTCACAATAACCTTATAAATATCGCAGCCTTTAATTTGAAAAACTACTATTAAATCACATTTTACTAATAGAAAATATCAGTCAATAGCTTATACTGTGGCTATCCGTGTGAATGAGACGTTAACAATAGGAACAGATAAGATTTAAATTAGCATCAGAACTAATGATCTTTTGTTGAAAAAGAAGTCAAGAGTAACGTTTCCAAAATAGATCATGGAAATGAAAGTCTTGATTAAAATCTGACAATAAATAAATTATCTATGCAAATATCTATTTATATATTATTTTTTGACATGATTTTTCTTTCAAAAAAATAATTCATAATACGAATGTTTCCACTTTGAGACATATAAAACAATAGCGTAGCTACCAAAACGAAAAGAAATCAAATTAATAATAAATTTTTATTTTATGTGAGACAAACGCGTCATTTTAAGTTGATGACTTAGCATCTTAAAAGTGAAATGAATCAATGAAACTTAATTCATACGGTTGGCGTAGTTATCAACTATGTAAACTAATCCTGTGGCTGATTTCATACCATCTTTGGTGGATTAGTGCCAGAGATTAATGTGTTTCATTAAATTTCATATAGACTGTGTCAAACAGATAGATTCTGTTTAGTTACTCAATATATCATACAACCATTTATCACATCGATGGACTCATAATCAACACGGATCCTTGCAATATTTACAGCGTACTTGTTCATTTAAATAATTTCGTCAACTTAAATGGATAATGGAATCTGAAAACAGTTGAACCATTTAATGAATAAATTGATACTATGGATTTGCATGCTTTTTTTTTCATTATACAATATTCAATATGAATATTTTATATTAATTAATAATGCTTTGTATAATAAAATTTAAATGTATTTGACTTTTTATTTTGTTTAAATTAGGAAATCGTGATAATACACAGTACAAAAAACGATAGACTAGACAGAATATGATTTTGATTGAACAAGTATTAATGAAAATTTTTGTTGCTGAATAAACTTTCTCGATCTTTTTTTATTCTTTTGTTTAAAAAAATGATTTATTCAATCTTACTGTTTATGATATATCAAAAGTTGACCTTTTGGAAACGCAGTTACAGTTGAAATTTTAAATAAAAGAAAATTGTTGATTTTATTTTCTAGAATTTTAATAAAAAAAAGCTATGAGTGCTGTTCGGGTTCAAATACGTCTAAAATATATGTTTGATGATAATTCAACAAAAGAATTTCATAACTTTTGGTATGCTTTTGAACCATCAAAATTGTTAACAATCGGTGATATAATCGAAGATATTCGATCAAATTATATAGAAAATCAAATATCTCTGTGCATAGAGGGAAAAGATGATGAACAAATATTTCTTATTCATCTTAATGATTGTCAATTATTACCATTTACTTCTAGTCAAATTATACGTGATAATGATCAACTTACGTAAGAAAATCATTTTTGCCTCCTGTTGTAAGTCATGCTTGTTGTTTTCTAGCTTTATGCCATTAAAAAACTTCAGGTTACAGCATAAATCATTTCAAGATTCAGTTAATCTTAATTTATCTTGCTCTATTGCCATTCAAACACCGCCACCACCACCACAATCCACTCTATCCGAAAATAGTCATGAACATCAACGCATCGAATCCGTGAAAAATTATGTTCCATTACAATCAACAATTTCAAAGTCGATTGAAAATATCGATGAACAATCATCGAAAAAGAAAATAAAAACTAAATCCAATGAAAATCAAGTTATGATTCCACCAATCATTCGATCTGTAACTAGGCCACCATCGGAAGTACAGTCAATATCACCAATAATACAACCAACACCTGCAGTATCTCAACAAACACCATCAGTAGTAAAGTCAACACCATTGATATCAGAGACAACAACACCTGTATTAAAGGAACATATTGTTGAAGAAGAAACTACTTCAGAACAACCCTTATCACTTTCATCAACCAATGTTCGTATTCGAAATTTAAAGTCTAAAACGCCAGCATGGAAATCACAAACACCACCTTCGCAAGGCAGTGTAAAAGGTAACTATTACTTAATCTTATAATTTTTTATCATGAATTGTTCTAGACAAGCTTCATGTTCGATTCGATTCTGACAGCGATGAAGAACCGATATCACAAATACAAATTACTGATGAAGAGAAAACATCAATAACAATATTACCTCTAGTCAATGATAGTAATAGTTCAGTTCGTATACATTACGTTCCAACAATAACAAAAACAACAGATGTAGCTAAAATATCAGATGAAGCAAAAAATTCAAAAAAAACTGTTGATCTCTTATTTGAAATGAAACAACATAAAACTCCTGAAGAGCGTCAAGCAAAAAAAATAAAACAGCAATTTTCTAAAAAACGTTCACAACATAAAAAACGAGCGTTAGATTATTTTTCGATGGCAAATTTTGTTGATCAAGCATTTGGTATTGATAAAAATGAACTTGAAAAACAGATATCACCAAATGGATATCATGCATCATCTTCTAATACTCCACAAGTAAAATTAACAAATTGTACTATGTAAAAGAAATTCTTTCTTTTTCGCTAGACGTTGCCAACATCATTTAATAAATTAGCTCGATTACCACTTGTGGCTGAAGCCATTGAAAACAATGACAAAATTTATGATCTTTATCCACCAGTTGAACAATGTCCAGCTATTCAAACACGCATTGCGTTCAAGTTACTTGAGTTAGGAGAAGATTTTTGTCCAAAAATGTCAACATTTAAAGAAGGAACTGTAATGAATGTAGATCAAACTACGGGTGAATTAACTATTCAACTTGATAAACCATTTCAAACAGTTTTTGATCAACCATCAAAATTCTATGCACCATCAGAAGAACAATTATCAACAGAAGATTTGACAAATGTAAGTGATATCATTTTCTTGTTATTCTTTTCGTTTTTATTAACACATGTATATTGCAGATTGTTCTACCATTTTCTGATCTCAATTCGGTTCGATTATTACCAACAACAAATGACCATAGTACAGCATAATGTTTACATATATCTAGTCTTCTGTCTAGCATGTTTCTTTTTGTCTTTCTAAATAAACTTCCATTATAAAATCAAGTGAAGTGTTAAGAGTATCAAATTCAAAGAAAAACTATTTTAGGTTTCATTCGTGTACTGCCGAATAAAATTTTACGAACTGACCATGAATACATGCATTTCAGTCGCTTCTATTATCTTGTAACAGAATAGATTCAGATATATACTTGCAGAGTATCAAAACTGTGAAGAACTCAATTTTTCTTAAATGTCACATAAAATTGAGTATAACATTCAAGGATTTTCATCTTTCAACTTAGAATTGTATCCAGTGTGATGATACTAAATGCTTTATATAGTGAGAGGTTAGTACTCAAACTTTAAAATCTATCTTGTCTTGCATGTTAAACGACGAACTCAGTGGTCTTACCTGATTAGAACTGTTCAAGTAGAGTGTCAACTATATTTATTTCTATTAAAAATTCTTTTCATTTACAAGCGAGAAAATGGAAATGTGTGATCTAAAGAACAAAATCATATCAAAAAGATAATCTCAAAATGCAATTATTTCGACCATTGGAATGTTAAAAAACCAATTATACGTTATATTTAGAATTAACTTAAAATTTTATATGAAAAAAAATACACAGTTAATTTGAATCATCTTCTACAATTGGAGACTCCTTTCTGACAGTTTGATAGTCAAAATGGTAAAACTGAAGATGAATTTTTGTAGGATTTCATTTGTCAAGTAAAAACTATTCCCTATTTTATTGATCATGGAAACATTTACAAATCGATCGGACATGATGATGGTTCCTCCTTAAGATGTGCCCGTCAAGTAGAAAAGACCATTGAAGTCACTTCTCGGTAGACATAACTAAACAGATATGTTAATGACTGCTTTAGTAAACTTTCGGAAAGATGTTTGACAGCATCATTTTTAGATATAACCATGCCTTGAAAACTGATAAAATATGACAATTCGATTCAATTTTAAATCGTTTAACAGAGAAGAGACCTTGCAAAAGGTTTCATAAAAACAAACTTGTTTTAAAAAACTGAATTCCTTCAAAGTAAGCGGTTTTTGTCCATTTCGATACTGTTCAAGTATTATCGAATTCACTTTCGTGTAGGACAATAGAAAGACTAGAAACATCCCTATTAATGGTCAGCACATCAAACTCTATGAAACAATCTATGAACAATACTCAAGTGTTTTCAAGTAAAATTTAATGTTTTTAGCAGCCTCCATAAATTTATATTCATCCTTCATTTAATCTACTTGACTTTCTACATCGGTTTAAATTATTCTTAGAATTTATAATCCTTCCTTTTTTTTTGAATGTTGACTTTGACAATTGTTATCGTCATGAAACAAAAAAAATAATTCAATTAAGATTCTTTTTCTCTAATATTTAAATGCATCCAGAAAAATGCATCAATGAATCGATATAATTCTTTGTCTTCATCATATTAACCCATTTGACATTCTAAAAAATAACACAGAAAAAGAACGATAACTAAGGTAACTGACTAGCATACACATGCATCGTTGTTGATTCTATATGCTTTTATTCTCTTTTCCTTTCCTGGCTGCAACATCTTTTTTACTTTGTCCTTAGTTTCTTCTTTTCAACAAAAACACTACTCTGATGTTTTGTAACTAAAGACACACACGGTTACTCTACAAGAAATAAAGAAAGTATTATGAAACTGGCACGAGCGTAATCTCAAATGAAAGAGAATACCAGAGAAAAAAAAATTCTTTTTTCTATTTTAAACGAAGAACTTGAGAATTTACAATTGAGACGACAATAACTGAATAGAGAAGAGGCAGAGAAGGAGAAAGGGAGAAATAAATTATTGTTGAAGGTAAAAAGAAATGAACAACTCAGCACCATCACTACATCAAACACATAAGTTTTTCATCGTTGTTGTCGAGTTGAAGTGAAATTTTTGTGAAACCTCACAGTTTTCGAAGAACGAATCAAGAAGAAGGTAATTAGATCGGATTGCATGGAAAGAAACATGAGGAAAGAGAAAAAAAAAGAAACACAGTTGATATGTAAAATTAATTTTCATTTTCTACTTTTAGATTACTGTGTTTAAATATTTGAAAGTATTTACTTGGCAACGTTGATTGAGTAAGTTTTAAAGTATTACACAAAAATCCTTATGGCTCGTGTGATTACTAATAACAATGGTAATACATCGTCATCAACTAAAACAGCATTTATTGATCGATTATCACATTCAGTTATTAAGGAAACATCAAAAACTTTGTAAGTTTTTTTTCTTATATCAGTATATTTGTTCGTTTTTTTTTTTATAAATATGATGCTTCTCTTTTGATTAGAAAACATTATATTGATGTGAAACGCCGTGAAAATGATTTTATTCTCAATCCAAATTCCTCAGCATGTGATTCTATACCACTTAAAGCAGTAAGTCACGAACGATGAATATTTTGAATTGAATAGAAAGTTCTTTTTTTTTCTATCATTATTTTTACAGCGATTTATGTATGGAACAACAAAAGAATATCCACCACTCTATGGCTCTTATCACTCAGATAACGATCTCAAAATTTATTTACGCAGTTTTCAAAAACAACAAAAACAACATAATGTAATTTAGTTTTACTTTTTCATCTCCGTTAACATTTTTAATAGTAGCCTCTGAATATTTCTTAGACATCATTACCTAGTGCTGAAAAACAATTGTGTCGTGATGAACTAAATTTTCATATGCGTTCATCTGAACATTCAGTAAGTACAGAGAGGAACTTGAATAATTTAATCATTTCAATTCATATTTTTTTAGCCGAGAGAAAATCAAAAATTCTCTGAACTTCGTTTAAGACCATCAGTACGATCAAATTCATCGTGTAGTCTGTAAGTTCTAAGATTACGGAATATAATTCAACATTTTATTTTTAATATAAATTAGAACATCAAGTGCTGATTTTCAAAAACGAAATTCAAAATCTGCATCGAAATTTTCACGTCATCGACAAGATCACTTAATTGATAATGCAGCAAATATTCTTGCATCTATGATTCAAACACGACGATCAATTTATGAAAAACAATTCTTATCACAACAAGTAAAATATTTTCTTGATAAGAAAAAAATGTACATATTCATAATAACTTATTCTTTGAATAATTCTAGACCCCAGCAAATTATGATTCACGTAATGCCAATCCTTCGCCTCGTCAAGCAGAGTAAGTATTGAATAAACAATTGAAAATTTTCATTTATGTATATTGTATTTTAAGTGATCAATTTAATACACAGCAAGTGCTACCATCTTCAAATAATGCATCAGCAAGTGTAAAGCTTCCAACTGTTACGCAAGAACCTAAAAAAGCAAAACGTAAAACTAGAAATGAACTGGCAAAAGCAACATATATTGTACGTATATCAAAATAGATGAATCGAAATGAAATAAAACAATTATTGCATGGTTTTCTTTTCTTCTTTGTCTATTAAAGATGCACAAAGCAAAACCTATTACTAAAGGCATTTTATGTGATTATCAAATATCAGTTACAACAGGAAATTGTAATGGTGCCTCAACAGATGCACCTATTCGTGTAAAACTGTACGGAACACATGGATATACTGATTTCGATGATCTTGTCGATTCCGAAACACATCGTGTACCATTTTTAAAATGTCAAACAGATGTATTTACTATTCGAAAATATCATGTTGGAAAATTAGCTGGAATTACTATTGGGCATGATCAAAAAGACATAAGTAAATGTTTCCAATAATGATTTCTTTTTTAAAATTCGTAGGGATTTTACTTTGATATTGTCGTTTTATTTTTAGAATCTGGTTGGTTTTTATATAAAGTATCTATTAAAGATCCAATACGTAGTATAACTTATGATATTCTGTGCAATGCTTGGCTATCGAGTAAATCAACGGATCAAAAGACAATACGTGATTTCGAAGTTACTTCAGTGATACTACCCAAAACAAATAGTTATGCGTACGGTATGAAAAATATTAAATCAATTTTTCTAAGATTTTAATCTAAATAAGATTTTACACGAATTGACTAATTTTTTTAAGTAGACCAACTTAACTCTTCATTTAAAATTCTATAGCAAAACAAAAGATGATACGATATATTTAAAAATAAATGTGGAAACTTCGGATTTCATCCGAGAGCTATGTGTACTGCAAAAAGTGAATGCGACATATGAGCCATTCTAGAATGCCTGAACACGAAAATTATCATGAGAAACTAGACAATTTGATTTCTGGATGGAGTTTTTGTGAATTTTGAGACGTTTTCCAGGCGATGTTTCGTTAGAAAGCTACGGTTTAGGTCAAAACTAATATCAGATTTAGAATCAGCGTTAAAAACTTAGTCGATTTATATATGTTGTGAATAGTTCTGAGAAATTTTTTTTTTGAAAAATCCCTGTACTCCCCCTCAGGGATGGTCTGATCAAAAATGACAATTTTTTCGACAACTCAGCCATTTCTTGGCGGATCCTTCTCATCTTCGAACTCGACCTAGATATTGATAAGACAATTCTGTGCACAAAATTTCAGCTCAATCGAATGTAATTGTGAAGAGTTATCGAATAAACGGACGGACGGCCGGACACACTGACCGATTCTATAGTGTACTCTTTTTTTTTTTGAGTACACAAAAAGAAGCTACCCATGACGATGTTCATCACTCAACAATGGCTGTTCGCTATATTGATCAACAAATAAAAGAGATCGAACAAAAAGGTATTCAAATGAATATTCCTGCGTTGCTCGTCGATAAAATTGTTGCATCGTTAAAAGAATCTACTACAGAAGATAGAGATCAATTTCAACTTTTGCCATCCTATAGAATAATTGATTGCTCCGTGCAATCAGGGGTTGCATTTGCAACAAATAACCAAAATTTATTAATTTATGAATGTAATTATTTGAATTTGTTTAATCGAGATTTAACACTTATTCAACAAATTGAATGGGGCTACGGACATATTTATGATATCTCTTCGTTGTCAACTTTGACTAGGTTTTTAATCATTACCGACAAAAAATGGTTTATCTCATAAATGAAAGTTCATTATCATCTACAGTTATTCAAACAATTCCACAAGAAAAATGATGGTCTTCTACGTGTTCTGATAAGTCTATTTTTTTGTCAACATATGAAACGGATGTAAATATTTTTCAATTTAATCTTTCGTCTTCATTCGAATTGACAAAACGATGGAGATCACCAGATACATGCAAACAATATGAATCTATATATGATATTAAATATGCCAATGAAGCGCTTGCTTTAATGATTGCTGATTCTTCTACCAAAACAGCACATTTAGAACTTCGATCTACAACAACATTAGCTCAATTTTAGTCCTTTAAACTCAATATAAATCATATTTCATATCAACCGTCAGTTCATTATTGCCAAATAAGATATAGTGAATGGATCATTATTATAGAAAATACGTCAAATATATTTCATATTAGTAAAGATGGAAAACTTAAAAGAATTTTTACGTACAAACCATCACCTTGAAATGCACTTCATTTCACGTCTGATATTTTGGCTGTACAAACTGCAAATAATCTTTTTTTCATAACATATAGTTGAACCACTGTTTTTCTCATATCTCAAGTAAGACTTACTGTTTCTTTAGAGCCAACTGAATGATTGATAATATGCCACAGGGATCTAACAGTGACAATCACAGGTCTTATCGATATATGAAATTTATTGTAGTATTCATCAGGTTAGTGGTAGTAAATATGTGTATCGATCGAGACCGACTTAGATCAGTACAAGCAATATAGATCCCTATTAGCACTGATAGATAGAGGCAACTAGGGGTGGACCATTTTTTTTAACGGAACTTAATTAATGACATTAATTAATGACTTCCATTAGCCATTAATATTA